CTGTTCTAAGGTTAATGATTACACCCATTGAGACCCTCTTGTTGCCGTGCATCTCTTCAATAGGAACTTTCAGTAACTCCTGTTTTCTTTTAATTTATTTTTAGTTTTTGTTTTTTTGCAATGATGGCGACGGTGGTGTTCGAGAGGGCATGGATCGAAGAAAGCGTTGTTCACGCCAAATACAACATTTAGCAATTTTCATAACTCTGCTATGGCACCAGCGATGGCCATCCCTACGCGAGTCTTACTTCTCACTTCTATACAGCTAAAATCAACAGGTTTCATAATGGTCGAGATGTGCATCTGCTTATAAAAACAGCACCATTTCTGATGAAGAATTAGAATTATTTCCCTACGACTGTTTTCAATCAAAAAATCCAGCTTTCTGTTGCAAGTCTCAGGGTCATTATAGTGTGAACAGGTGATAGAAGTATAAGCAACGATTTCATGATTATGTTATCCGAAAAGAAAGCGCCTCTCTGGAATGACAAGTCGCTCTGTGATGCGTTGGTATGCACACAGAGCTCTTCTTAGTTTGTCAATTATGTTTCAAATTGTTTTCATTTTACTTTTGTAAGAGGATTATTAAATAAAGAAAGCTTTCTCGCTCTAGATAGGCAGACTTTAATTAAAATTTATAGTGTTTTCGTCGAGAAGGACAGTAGTGAAATGAAAGCGCTGCACGAGCGTTTCTTGGCACGCGAGGACGTTTTTGCAAAAAGTGAGCAGGCAAAAGGTCAATAAGGGGAAACTTCTCGCCATCTCGCTTTTCTTAAGGGAGCTGTGTCACGCTTTGAGTTTACGCTCCAAGTTCTTCCTGTTTGCCATTTATAGGTATGAAACTGCTATCGTTCCCCATACCAATTGACAAGAAGCAGAGCGCGCGACTGTAAAAGCGAAGAACGCTTATGCCGGCGATAAATACCGTCGCGCTAACAAGGAGGGTCTCCACACGGGTTAACTTAACCTGAGCAATTTTGTGGCTGTCAGCTTTTGCGGGAACGCGCTCTGTTCCTTTTAAAATAATATGCAAAAGATTAGTACAAATAAGAATATCTAAATCACCGAAGCGATATTATGGGCACTTCTGCAATAAAACTGGCATCGTCAATGAAGAAGTCAAGCACATGGCTGTTAACTAAGTAGGCTAAGATAAATTATGCCAGCATAATTAATCTGAGCCTACTTAAATTATAATAAATTAGGTCGACATAATTCTGGATATAATGCTATAGTAAACAAAGCCTGTTTCAGAAATTTTTTGCAATGACGAGGCTCAGGATGTGACATTATTGTGCTAAAATTTAGAAAACCCAACGACGAAGGGACAAACGAAATCAGAAACACAAGATTAAATTTTCAGAGCTGCACCCTTTCAAAAACCACAAACAACTTTATTCTTCTGTGACTAATGAGAATCCTAATAAAGACGAAAACTTATAGACTATATTCAACGGCTAACCAATGCTATGCCTAACCACGCCCAAAATTGCTTGCAGAATCGAAACAGCTGAACTGCATATCATATTAAAATCAAGCGCTAACTTAACAAGAGAATATAAAGTACTATATAACCATTATTATCCCTCAGCTAAGTGCTCCAAAATTCACTTCAAAATTGACATCTTAAAAAAGGTATCAACTTAGTTACAACACAGCTTATTTGCAGTGCACGATCTCCCATCAGGCTTTGAAAAAGATCATCAGAGAGGCCAACGCGCATGACAGCAACAGGATGCCGCTGATACGGGTCGCTATCCCAGCATTGCAGTCGTCACCGGAGCAGCAATTGATGTTACACTCGAACGATCCACTGCCGCTTTTGCAAACAGGGTTGGTGTCCTTGTCGCAATAAGCATCAGAACCACACGATCTTGTGAATGACTCGATTTGGCCGTATCTAAAGTAAACCTTAACACATTTATCAGTAAACGGAGCCGGGCAGTCGGTGCTTTTTCCTTCGCATTTATCCCACGACTCGGAACTGGAGCAGACCAAGCAATTCAGGCCCAACACTAAAAAAACAAAAAATCATTTCCAATGCTTCACAACACATTAATGAAAACTGAATTATTAAAAATTTCTACTGTAAGTTACAGCAAGTGAACCTCGAGACAAAATGAGTTCAGTTTATATTCTCTTGTACTGCTTTATCGAGAAACTCGCGTAACTAGTAGTAATCGTGGATTAGAAAAGTGCACCCAGAGGC